CTCCAGCCTGGGGCCTCCCTTGGGTTCACAGACTCTGGTGCCTGGAGCAGCTCTTCCTCCTCCTTCTCCACTGACCTTGGTGTCTGCAGAGTTGCTCCTCTCACGTGTTCTCACCCTACTCTGACCACAATTACATCTGCATAATAACTTTGTTTTATTTCATCTTAAATCTGTTATCACAGCAGAGTTATCACTATTTCTGCCTGGCCCAGTCTTGGCCAGCGGCGCGTCTGTATTGGAGCCACCAGGGATTGGCTGGACATGGAGGAAGCTTCCAGCAGCCTTCCACAGAAACCACCCCTCTAGCCCTTCCCCCTCCAAAGCTTGCCCTTGCAAACCCAATTCAATGCATTAAAGCATTAATATTTTAGTATAGAAACAAGAAAAAGTTCTCTATGAGAGTTAAAGGACCAAAATAATGAAACGTGATACAACCTATAGTCAGATCAAATCCTGCTTATTACAACAAAGCATACCTTTTATCACACATGATATAAGACTGAAATTGTAAAAGGATAGGGAGCAAAAATTCAAGAGACAGCAGGAAATATACCTGCGTTGTATCTAGCTTGTTAGACTCAAGATGGAAATGACCATTAAGGAGTTTGAGGATAGTAAACTTTCAGAGATAAAAACAACTAACTCTGAAACAGAACAAAACATGACAAATAAAGATGAAAAGATGTATTCTACTTCTTTAAAGCACGCACTTTAGATTACGGCCTTTAGGTAGATAATAGCAAACAATCACACTGGATGTAACTTTATTGTTATTTTGTTATAATATGGGCTTATGTAAAACCTTAGCAGTGGTAATAATATCTTTTATCCAAGTATTTATTATTATATTTTTAAAGTTTCTGGATTTCCTGTCTGAGCATTCAGATTCCACTCTAGGAATCACATTCACAACCTGTGAGACTTTCACTGCTGGGACTGAGACCCCTTTGCAGTCGGTGGCTCCAGTGACCTGATGGGTGCCCCATTTGAATCCCTACATGCACCATACTCACACTGTCAGAAGCTTCCTTTGCCATCTTGACCCATGTTTCCCATAGCAGTGTCCCAGATGCTGGGTTCCTTGAAGTATTTTGATCATGATGCAGCGACTCAGTAGCAGCATGTGCTGTTTCTAAGGAATCCCTGGGCTTTTACGCCCTGACAGTCTGTGCGCCCACCCTTCATGCCCCATGCACTTGCCTCTTGGTCCAGTGGTGATATTTTGGCTGAGGTCCTCTCCTTGCTCATTGGGTCCTGCAGAGTCTCTAGGTGACTGGCCACCCCCACCCCTACGAGCTAGCACCAAGGTGCCCTTTGTTAGTAGAAGGTCAGTGCCTGTTCCTGGCTCATTTGATGGGCCCCAACCATTTGCTGCCAGCCAGGACACAGTGTCCAGCTCACAAACAAAGCTCTCAGCATTAGGTGTACTCCTTTATAGGCACATCCATCTTTGGTGATGCAGCTCTCTTTTTTGCTTAAGACTTCATGTAATCACTTTTGCACAGTAGAATTGTGTTGCTGGAAAATGTATCAGATAGCTAGATCCTCTAAGTGACACAGTGTTACCCTCTCTACCTGTTCTGGTGCCCTGCCCACTAACGGCACCTTGAGCCATGTGATGTGCTCAGGATGTGTCTCCCTCAGGCAGGAGAGATGTGGGCACTAGAAAATGAAATGTCCAGGGATGAGAAAGTATGAAAGGTCAAGGACAGGATGACCCTTGCTGGTGATTAGATATTTAGCTGCAAAGGTCAGAGAAACACCAGTCACCATTCTCAATTCTGTCTCTTGTAATTAGGCACTTTTGCACCTTGAAAAAAAAAAAAAAAAAAAGAAAAAAATAAGCAAGGGCTGTTTTGGTAAAGATGCCATATTCCATATCTACACCTGCTAGGCAATCTTGTGTAGGTTGCTGTTCTGTGCATGTGAAAAATCCACTTGAGGAGAGAATGTGGATGGAACAGCTACTTAGGCAGGCAGCCCTCATCCTCACTTAACATGAGTCACCTGTTGTCAGAAAGGTTAGGCACCTATGCCCTGTATTACAACTATGAGATTTAGGCTTTGCGTGCAAGTATGTAATCATGCTGAAGCCATTGCTATTTCTTAAAATTCCAGGCAGAGCACTTGCTTACACTTTGACAGTAAAATTCAGGTTTTCCTTGTCTGTCTCTATTGTTTGTGTAAGTATGTAACTCGACAATCACACACTGATTGCACATAGTGAAAAGCTGTGAAAGGAATGAGAGGGAGGTGTTTTTACAAACAAATTGTGGGCCTGCTGGTAGATAGAGCCAGATACTGATAGGTGAAAGAAGCAATAATAGGAACCACAAATTCCAGAGGAATTCCACTAATTGACACAGACGGTTACTCACCCAAGGCCGCGCTAAATTCCTGGAGTTAGAGAAAAATAACAGAGACACAAAGAAAAGGGAAGGGGGGGGGGGGGGGGGGGCACATTAGGNGCAGGGGGGGGGGGGGAGGATGCACATTAGAAGAGGGTCTGTATTAGGCGATTTGGGAAGTCTGTACCTCTCAATTACCTAAGACAATGGGGAAAGAGAGAAGGAAATGGGGCCAAGAAATTAGGATAAAAGGGAGGATACATCCCCCAGCAATTTGAGAGATCCCATGGGGAATTGCCCCATGATCTCTCCTTTTATTCATGAACAAAGCTATGGAACTCCACTGACTCTTTTTTGGACATAAAAACCTCTGGCATTTTGGATTAATTTTCCTGACAGCTGCAAGCAAAAAAGAGATTGCAAATTACTCTCATTTGTCATTGAAGACTTTTAATCAGTTTGGAGGTTGGAATCTCTTACAGAAATTTTGTTTTGATTGACAGCTCAGAGTATCGGAAAACTAAAGATTTTTCTAAATCTTTACATTAATTTTAGAAAAGAGAATTGTACAGATAAAGACAAGATATATTTATAGCAAACACTGGTTTTGGCTGTCATTGTGGAATCTCTCTGAGCGGTTAGACTTTTTTTTCTTCTTTTGAAGGTTCACCAAAAAAAAGCCAAATCCCATGGAACACCAAATCTCTAATCTTACTGCTGAAATATATCTGAATTTCTCATATTCATTCCTCTCCAGAGATACTATGACCTTCAAAGTACCTATTAAAGTTGTAAGGACATTACAGTCAGTGGTGGCACTGACTAATGATGTTAGTCTGTCATCTTTCATATGCAGCATAACTTTGATTCAAACTTGTAGAATATTTAAATAAAAATATTTCTAAAATTTCTAAAAAACTTTCTGGATACAACGTGTACTGAGGAAATCTAGTGTAGATGCTGCAATTGATACCAAAAGGCTCCAAAAAGATCTGCAAATCTTTGGCAAGATTTTTGACATGCTGTACTAATGTGATGTCGTTAATGTCTTTCTCCAGATTAGTACACAACAATGTAGCTTTCAAGTTTCTTCTGGGTAGCTACATTTTACAACATAAGAACTGTGCAGAAATAATGATATTTTTCTTTTGTTGACTGATATTTTTCTGCTTTAAATTTGAAGCATTTCAGAGCCTGAGAGATTTGACTCAACTACCAGGATTTTGTAAAGCTCTTTGCAAGCAGATAATTGCCTGAAGTTACTGTTATTGATTCCATGCAAAACAGTTTGTGATCTCTTGAATTAAATTGAAACTTGAAAAGGCACTAAATCCAATTAAATTAGTTTTATTCTGCAGTGAGCATGCCCGGCAAAAGTGGGTCTACATGAGAGCCAGGAAAGATGCAACGACTATGTTCTAGGCTTGGAATAATCTGTAGAGGGTACACCTTATTGTGTTTTACAGTGGTGTCCACAGACTTATCAGCATCCCAGAATGAAGAGAGAACAGGGCCGTCTTTAATCCTGCCTTTTGAAACATAGCAAGAATTCTGATACTGTTTCAAGTTACTGTGATAAGGATAAAATTAATTTCAAAAGCAGGTGGTATATACAGTGAAGTTATCATGATAGAGGAAGTGTTAGTTTCGCATGAACGATCGAAATAAAGACAGCCTCATCACAGAAATCAAGACTGCAATTGCCGTTCTTTGGGCAATTGTGGCTGAAGGGCTAAGATTTTATTGTTACTGTGGCTGTTAAAAGAGGCACTGATGTTTCGCCCGCCCAGGTGCCCGTCCTCTGCGGAAAAATGCCTTGATGAGTTTCCTGGCATGTCACTCTTGGCCATATTTATTGAGACATTTTTATTTTGAGTCAGCGAAAGTACTCGCAGCTGGGTCCAGAACTGTGAGCAGCTGAAAAGGCCCCTACAGGCGCGCTGCACTGAGATCTGTCACCGCGGGGGCTCAGTGGCGGCCGGGGAGCCCCACGCTGGCTGTGGCTGTTGGGAGCGGCTCTCCGCGTTCACTGAGTGCCGCACGCCCCGCGCAGCGCTGCGGCAGCGCACCGCGGGCGTGCCGCCGGACGGGCCCGCCGCTCTTCTCGCTACAAGGGGGCGTTTCGGACCCGGCTACCTCATCCAAGCGTGTCGGCCACCTACAGCAGAGCTACCCGGGGGAACTCCCAGTGTGAGCGAGCGCCTCTTTCGTTGGTGCCACTTGTTCGAGGATGTATGTTGTACCGAAAGACCCGTGGCAACGCCGTTTGCGGTGGCACCGCGTCTGAGGCGCGGCTGCCGGAGAACGGCCCCACACGGGCGGCGCTGCCGGGCCGGCGGGGCCCACACCTGATGAATAATAGAGCGGCGCACCTCATTGGTTAACGGCTGTGATTGACAGCTCCGGCCTTGCACGGTAATTGGCCGCAGCTGGGCACGCGGGGCGGGGCGGAGCCTGGCGCCGGGATTGGCTGCTCTGTTACTCTCCGGTGTCGCGTGCAGGCGGTGGGCGGGCTCGGCCGCGCTTATAGGCGGCGGGGACGGCGGTGGCGGGTGCGCTGTGGGGCTCCATTGGCTGCTGCGGTCCGGCCGGGGCTGTGCGAAGCTGCGGCGGGCCGCGTCCCAGGGGCGACGCGTGGGTCGGGCTGCCGCTGCTCTCGTCCGGCGTGCGCGGTGTTTCGGCCCCGCGAAGCAGCGGCGGCCTTGAGGGAGGGGGCCGGCGGCCGCCGGTGCGCGGGCAGGGGGCGGTCGGGCGAGGCGAGGCGAGGTGGCCGCGCGGATGATGACGGGGCTGGTGGGCAGCCCGGTGGGTGCCGTCATGCAGGAGAACTTCGGGTGCTCCGTCGCCAATCGCTTCTACCAGCTCCTGGACGACGAGTCGGACCCGTTCGACGTCCTGCGCGAGGCCGAGCGCCGCCAGCAGCAGAGGAAGAAGCGCGACGAGGCGGCGGCCGTCGCCAGGCGAGCCGTGCCCGGCGGCCGGGCGGGCGGCGGCAAGAGGGAGATCCAGAAGGAGCGCAAGCAGCTGGAGAGCTCCCCTGCGCCCTCCCCTGCGGCGCCGCGGCAGCCAGGTACGCGGGCAGCGCCCCGGCGAGGCGGGGGCGAGCGGGACCGGCGGCCGGTTTTGGGAAGGAGGGAAGGCGGTTCCCGGCGCTGCGGTGCCCGGTGCGGGCCCCGCGGCGCGGCGGGGGTGGCTGCGGGCTCCGCGCTTCACCGACCTCTCGGCAGTCGTGGCGTGGCGGGGTTAGCGCTCTCATAGCAGGGCTAAAAAATCCTGGTTCCTGTGGGGTCGTCGTGCTGAACGCACCTCAAAGTCCCCTCAGAGAAAGCAGTGACGTGTGGGCAAGGTCCTGACACGATGCTGCCGAGCACTCTCGGCCGAGGCGGCCTTGGAATATGTAAATAAAAACTTCAGCGTTATCCCCAGAGACAAATGCAAGAGCATCAACTCCTACGCTGCGGCATCTACAGCTTTCATGCTGGTTTATCAGCCCTGTTGCTGCCTTTCATTGCTTGTCATCCTGGGCAGTATCCTTCAGTGTCTGAAGTTTACAGGCGCGTGATTTCTCGGTACCTGTGAGTTTTCTGGCCTTTCAGTGACTTCAGAGTTCTAACGTCTACAGCGATCTGTGCTTACTTTGCCTTGAGCTTGCATTGGTGAACCAGCCTTTGAATGAGGTAGCTCTTCAGCCAGTGTTCAGGAATGGTCAGCTGCTAGGTTTTGATGCGTAATACTGCTTGGGGAAAGAGGGAGTCAGTTGGCTTTTGTACTAAAAATGTCTGTCACAGTCCTCTTTGCAGCTGGAGGCTTCGTGGGCTAGAGCTTCTTGCATTTGGAGCTGATTGCTAGTCTTAGTGAGCTGAGTGTTACTACTTACTCGGTATTGAGCTTCAGGTTGCTGGATTCAGTATCTAAAGTATCTGAGAACTGGTGGATTGTTTCCAAAATTGAGCATCTTTGCGCAGAAGATTCTGGTTTCACCCTCTTGAATTGTAAGTTCCCATTCTCCTGCAGGAAGCAATGAAGCCTAACACATAATCTGTTATTAAGATATTTTCTTCGTGTAGTAAAATCTCCTGTTGAGCTCACAGTAATGGTACTGTGTGTTTTAATGCCCTAGGAAAAGGCCTTTGAATTGAGGTTGTTGCTCCATCAAGTTGTTGGCAGTGCTACGAATTCTATTGCTTAGGCTTACAGTCTTACACTGTTCCCAACATCAGTTAGTTGATGCATTTTTAGCAGTTTGTGGAGCAGAGAGTCTTCAAAGCTAAATAAGTGCGGGATAATGAGCGCGTTTGTAGAGGAAGATATCAACAAGTTGTCACTGTCTTTATGGGCAGTTGTATGAATCTAGTCTTTTTGAGATTTCTCTGCAGTTATGTAACTTAGTCTCCTAAGACCAGTACTCAGACTATAACAGCTTATTTTATTTAAATGTTACTTTATTTACTGTGGCTGTCAACAGAAGTTGAAGGAGTCTGCTCAGTGAACAGCAAAGTCTCAAGTTGTGATGAAAAAGTTCTTGAACAAGAACTGGTGGTTTTCAGTAACTTCCCATTGTAGTATGTGAAGACTATCCTTTACCTCCTGCTTGCCTATAGGTGTCACCATTCTTGGCGGTACACAGTGGCCCTGTGGCTTGTCTTTGACTATTCTCTGCAACCCTGGTATTAAGAAATCTCTTTTCTCATGCAGAGACAACAGGCATGTGCACCTTATTTCAATTTCTTGCAGATTTAAAATGGAGAAAAGACTGCTGACTACAGTACCCTTAGTGAAGGGGCATTAAGATCTATTTTAAGAAGAGTTATTTCTCTTCTATATTTAAAAACACACTTTCTTCTTTAAACACAGCATCTGTTTGGGATTTTATGTGTTTGTCTTAGGCTTGTTAGGAAGTAAGGACTATAAAAGTACAGTGCTTAAGATGCTAAACCAGTGTGGATAGTCAAGACTTGGTCTTGACTGTGTGTTTCTCCTTTGAATGTACTGTCTTAGCAAGTCTCCTCTGAATCGCAGAGAACCCTCTGAGTTAGGGTAAATGCACAAGTGATGATGTAGCTGACAAATGTTAAGCAAGTGGCATGTTGCGAGAAAAATCTTGAGGTTTTTTGGAAGGGAATGGGTCAGCTCTTTATTGGGGCCATACAAAGTTGGTTTGTTACACAGGGTTCAAAACTTCTGTATTTTATAGAAGATTCAGGGGGCTATCAACTTGACAATTGAGAACGATCAGCTTCCTTGTACTCTCACAGTTTGGCATAGCTTCTAATAACAGATGCATTGTTGGAAGAGTACACCTCTGTTTGGAGAAAAGAAATAATATTGAATAAAATTACTAAATTGTTAAACTAATTGCTAAACTTTTAATTTGAAAAAAAAAAAAGAAAAACATACCAAACTTAAGACTTTGTTTCTAGACTTAGTGATTTTTTCCCCCTGATTTTGGGCATAACTACCTCTAACTTCATTCTACCTATTAGTAATTAAACACCAAAAAATAGCATCTAGACCCATCTGAACAGCAGAATCAGATTCTGCTGGTATTACAGTTGAGATGATGGAATTCACTGTATTGAACTAGTGTTCTTGGAATCATCACAGAACAGGGTTGGAAGGATGGCCTGCTCCAGCCTTTCGTAGGAAAGGCAGCCTTGAAGACCTCATCTGCTACCTTGTAGAGTTGCATTTTGAAAGCCTTCTTTGATGGGGGTTTAACCCTGAGAAGGTTGTTTCAATGTAAGGTAGCACCAGAAAGACATTCTAAACACAGATGAAATCTCTTCTTGTGCAGCTTGTCCCCACTGTAGCCACTCACTTTCATGGGGCTCCTTGCGAAGAGAGCCTTCGTCATGGTAGCTTTTCAAATACCTGGGTACTGTGATGTGGCTTGTATGAAGCCTGGTCCAGGGAAGAGGACAATCTTTTCTCATAAGGCAGGCTCACCAACTTTTTCATAACCTTCACAGCCTTCTTTTGGATATTCTGTAGCCTGATCATCTTCATAACCCTACTTTGGACCTGTCCAGGCTGTTTTATCTAATTGCTAGGGTATTTGCCTGTTTGGACTACAAAAAGTCTTAAGTTTCACAATTTTTGTTTTATGCTAGTATTATTTCTTGAGCATATTGAATCTGTAAAAAAGGGTCTTTAGAAAGATTCAAAGCACATCTAGTCTTCTGTCTTGCAATATAAGAAGTTTTACAGTAGTCAGAGATTTTTCTGTGGTATTATGTTTTAATGTTTGACTGGACAAAGTTCTGTAAGGTAGCTTTTTTTTTTTTTTTTTTTTTTTTTTTAAATGTAATTTTCACTGAGTTTTTCAAATCAGGTTTTACTAAATTTCTGGAGATATTTTCAATTTGTAGCAAACCTCCTGAGAGGACTTTGCCAGATAATGCAATACTTTGACCTTTAGAATCCAAACTATTTATTAGGAAATGGCACAGCTGTAAGGAGGTAACTTTTTAAGCTTTGCTTTTTATGGAGAAAATGGACTCCTGTTTCATTGTCTACCAAAACCTATACTTTTGACCTTAAAGGTGTATTTTTTCTCTTCTGCTGGCTTCTGTTCTGTGATTTTTAGACTGTATTAGCAGAGGATTTGGGTAAAGGATGGTTGTAGGTATTGCAGCTCTTGTAATTGCACCTCTTGATGTTAACTCAGTTCATTCTTACCACAGTGACCAAACTGCATTTGCCAGCTCTTTATTCAAAAGTCCCAGTTGCAGAGCTTGCATTCTTTACCAGTCCAGGAAAATTAAATTTGTTGATCATGCAGTAATACTCTGTTCTTTTGAAATCTCTAAACCTTTGTTGCTAATACTTCTAAAAGGTTTTCTTCTTTCATATACATATGATGACTCTGTTAACATTTATATGTAGCTCCTAAATAGTGCGCTTTTGAGTTTTTAGCTGTGGTTTTAAAGTGGTGTTGAATTTTCTGTGGAGTTTTACCTTAGACTGACTAAGGTAAATTTTCTTATTTTTTAATAGTTTATCCTGATAGCATTCTTTCAACTACAGTGCCATAAGGATTGTCTAGAGGAAAGCTGTAGTAGGCAATTCTGTAATTCAGCAAGTAGTGGCATGCATGAAAACAAAATGGCACAGGACGGAGTCTAACTCTGCGTGTCTCTTTGGTGTGTTGCTTGCAGTAGCTGAAGCTATTGTTTGAAATTTCATATTAGAATCACACACATTTAAATGGGAAAAAGTGAAATTGTTTTTGGAGTCTTAATTCTTCAAATCTCTAAAACAGCAAAATATGTGTTTGAGTGAGAATAAATTGCCTTTTACTATTTCCAGTTATGAAGTTTTGTTGTAAGGGAAGATTAGTTGCCTCTGTATAAGTTTTGAAGAAGTTTATTCACCCTAGGCTTCCCACAGCTGACATCTAGTTTCTGGTGAAAAAACATTAATAATTTGGTACTGCAACAGACACAGCTCAAGCTAGGTGCCTCACCAGAGGGACTTAGAACAAAGAAATACCTGAGATTTTATACCCTTACAACCTATGCTCCTATTTTTTGCACACTTCACACACCTTGCATGCATGTCTTAATCCAATGGTGATTTTTGTTTTGGAGTCTTGTTGTTCATATCACATTCTTTCTCTGTAGCTGTCTTTATCTGGATGGGTTGCAGCTTCTGATGGTAGCCATGACTTCTTAATCTTTTAATTTACACTGGTCTCAGAGCCTCCTTTCATTGTAGCTGAACGAGAGTACAAGACTCATTCAGCATTTCAAGGTGAAAGTTTGCAGCTTGTGGCCTAAAACTTCAGCACTTTGCTTGTGCTAAGCGAAACTACTTAGATAAAAGAATTCAGCTAACTAAACTCAGTATACAACAGTCCTCTCTTTGTTTTTGTCATGCTTTCCCACTATTGTCAGAACTCATGAAGTCTTTCAAAGCATTTGACTGCTATCCATAATGTCACATAGGGTGTTATTACAAGTAACAGGCATAATATCCTAAAGCTTTAACAGTAAAGTAAATATATAGCAGGGTAGTATGTGACCACTTCCATTTAAACTGTAATTTGGATTTCTGTGAAAAATACCTAAT